TTTTGTAGTAATGTGTAAACTTACTGGCTTACTTCTGAACAGTGTAGCTGAGACACTATGCATGTATGCATACATCCATAGCAACCCTTCCTTTTACTACTTCTCTGCCTCTGATCACAATAATATTCAGTGAGCAATAGACCCTGTGGGTTCTTCTCTAGTAAATATTACAACAAGAAAATATAATCTTCCCAAATATCAATTTTAAAAAATATCCCCAAACAATTTCGGGAGTTAATTTGTTAGTGTGATTGTTTTTGAGGAACTGATTATTTTTTTATTCCTATAAGCATCAGTCTCTCATATGATTGAGGACTGATCTCTTTCATGACTGAAATATATTTTTATAATTTAAGTAGTCTGACACAAAGGTCCTGTATCTGTTCAGTTGCTCTATTGTGACATATGGATAAATCAAGCAAACACAGTGCACAAGACAAGTGTTTAACTGATGTGCTGAATAAGCTTTGTAAATCATCAGACTTAAGTATTGTTAATGGACCCCACATTATGACAGTATGAATGATATATGATTACCTAACTTTTGAAAGTAATTCTTGCTTTGGAATATTCGAGTTGAATCAAGTCTAAAGGCTGAACTTACCTTGCATAACCATGTAATATAAGAAAGTAGGCTGGTCCTCCTGTGTGTCTGACCAGGGTAACAAAGGGTTGTAAGGAAATAAGAACAAATCTTGAGCTTTATTTACACTTTTATTTTCTTATTACTATTAGCAATACTGAATGTGACATAGGTGCCTAAAAGTTTACAGCAATTTTACAATTTAACTACTCATTCATTATTATTTCTGGATATGTATTTGTCATCTTTCAGATCCTTAAAAAAGGCAAATGTAATAATATTTGCTATCTAATAGTGTTTAAGTGCTGAATCAGTTTCACATAAAATCAATATTTCATTTGATGTAATATTCTATCTGTATCTTAGAACTCGGGCACTCCTTTGTATTTGTTACGACAAACATAGAAGGAACTTCTGAACTATTTCACAATGCCTAGTTAAAACATTTAAATATTCTATCCTCTTGTGCTCAGAGACATCAGGAGTGGACACACACAAAGCTCCCTGTATTGTTACTTATTTCCATGTACATACTGAATAACAGTTTTTATGGTTTCAATATTGAGGACAATATTCCAGAAAAAAACAGGCTTTTCTTTCTAGTCAGCTAAGTTAAACTTGAAAACAAACAAGCAAGCAAAAGGTAGATATCCCAACTACACTTTTTTTTTTAAACAGAAAAATGTAGCCTATAAATATTTGCTGCTCACTACTGCTTTCAGAGCTGATATTCCTCTCATCAGTAACTGCAAAATGTGGGGCCACAGTTGCATTCATTGTTCAGTGAGCTTGTCCACATAGTTAAACCCACCGACAGCAATGAATGTTGATTGTGACCTTTTTTGTAAAGCTTGGCAGAGTAGGGAAGAAACATCATGTGGTGATTAGGTTGCTATCTTCGATGTTAAGGCCTGAAAGCATGAAGTAAGGAGGAGGCTGGTTAGCTGGAGGGTACAATCAACGGTCGATGGTTTTCACTTTAATTCCAAACTCACCGACAGCGTTGAATGTTCACTGAAGCAACCACTACAACAGAGCTCCATTGACTTGACAGCATCCTCAAATGTCTGAAAAGAGGGTGGGGGGAAATCAAAATTCACACAATGATTTTAATTATTCAGATGATGCAACTTCACTCATTTTTCTCTTACCAACAACCTTCTCTGTCCATCCTATTTGAGCCTCTGTGAAAGGAGCTGCCGGTTTTTCTAAACTTCTTTCTATGAAAAGAAAACATATTTCACTTATTCAGGTTTCAACAATATATGTTAGGATCCAGGCACAAGTGGATTAATGTTGTCTGTTGTTGCACAAAGCCGAACTTCATAGCAAACCAAAACACAAGATCCTATACATAAAGAGAGATGGCTAAGAGTTTTATGAATTAGTGTTGCCAATTATAGATTACCGAGTAAAATTTCTTCTTCTGCTGACATGTTCAATCGGATTTAAACTTGCTTAAGATTGATAAAATCTACATTTTCCTTTTAAGAAGTTTTAATTTCTCAATGAGTGTCTTGGACAGGAGGCCTTTTTTCCTCACAAATTTATACCTGAAGAACTTGTTATGATAGTTTTCGGGAGGGGAAAAAGGCAAACTAACATCAAGGCTTGATGGCCTTAATTTTCTTTACACACATTTTCTAGGTGGCAGCATGCTGTGTATATCCAGAACTTAATCACTGCAAAGACAAGTGCTTATCCCTAAATATTTCCACAGTGGTACAACAATTTTTTCCAATCTTCTGAGTTTTCAAACTCTGTTGTCCTAATTCTTAAAGTAAATAAATAAAACAGTGTTGCAGTTTTCACATTATAGGGGAAGGGTTTTGGAAGCTTGATTAGAAGGCAAAACATGGTAACAGGAATTTTACCTGATTTACGTTTGGGAGCAGGGTTCTTCTGCAGAAGGTGGTCTCGCAGCTCAGCTGGTCAGGCTTCTTTTTTCTAGGTCCACTCTTAGCTTTCTGCACTGAAATTATGCAACTAATGCATTGGTTTCTGTGAATTGCTAGTTTACCTTTGGTAAAAGATGTCTTGTACTCTCTTCCATTTCTAGTTATTTTCAAAATCTTTATAAATGTTGGGTATTATTTTGTTTTGTACTTGCAAAAAGAAAACCAGCACCAAAAGATTGCAAGTCAAAAGTATGCTGTTTTGTAAACAAACCATGATGAGGACTGTCTTAGCTCTTTCAGCTAATTGCTCTGCGTGTAGAGGTTTTTATTGCATCACTTAACTCAATTGAATTTTCTGTCAAATATCTCTAAAGGACAGAATCATTAATATATCCTGTTGGAGAACTAGACAAGACAGGAATCAACTGATTTTCTTTTATAGTAGATTAGATATATTTTGTTTATAAAGGCCACAGTGATCATGAATATACCTGAATTCAAAACAAACCCTTTGTGGTTGTGGTGGTAGGGGGTTGTTTCGTTTTTGTTTTTTTTTTTTTTCAGTTTTTTTTTTTTTTAACTTTTCTCTGATACAGCAGCATCTCTGAAGTTTGATTTATTTCATTTATTTGTTTAGTTTTACCCTCCATTTATTTTTACTGGCTTTCTCACAGTTTAATTCCATGGATGTTAAGAAAGGAGTTTTTTTTACACCAGCAAAAGAGATGAGAGAATAAGGCTTTCCAACTCGGCAGCCTTTCGTGCATCTGTTCACCTTGTTTCAGCCAAATTAATTGACTTCATGGTTTAGGGTGGCTCCTATTTAACATTTACCCTATTGTAAGCTTTCTTTTTTATGCCATTTCTTTCAGTACTCATTCCTATGTTCTTCTACCTTGTTTTTACCTGTCGCTTCATTTTTCAGTATGGGGTCTTGCCTGGCTGATACCTGGCAATTAGGATGTGGAGTAGGGGAAGGAGAGTAGTGATGTAGAACTTGAGGCAGGGTGGATTGCATTTTAGGGAATAACTTTCACAGGTTGTTACTGCTCTATCCCCACTCCTCTATAATGGAAAAACCTCAGTATTTCCTCAGTTACCTAGCCTCTCTTGAAACAGGATGGAACTTATAAGTACAAAACCACAAAAAGTATTCCTGAGCTCCAGCCTTCAGCCTGATTCCTGATGTGTGCAGGTTATGTAGGGTAAAAATGCTTTCATCTTCTCTCATCTTGTTTTCATATATATATTTTTTTAATCCCTTACTGGGCTTAGCTAGCTGTTACAAATGCCAGCTTTATTTTAAATTTCACTTCAGATCTGCAGGCCCATGTGAACATTCAGATTGGATGTATGGGTTGTGGTTTGTTTTTTTTTTTATTTAAGGTTAGTAGGTCATAAATAAACCAAAGCACTTTCCTTGCTATGAGCAATAGGGTCATGGTGTGCATGAAATATCACTTTAAAAAAATTGGAACCTAACATGAATTGACAGAGGTACGTGAGGAAGTAGTTCATTGTGTCGCTGTAAAGGCCATAGGGATTTGGATTGCTAGAGCTGCCTGTTTTTGGAATAGATTAGATATCTTGTCTGATGACCTGTACTTAATTTAAGTGACTGCCTTCGCCAGCCCTTCCAGAGGGCAACTGTGTGAAGTAGAGCATCTCATCTTCAGTCTTCACTCCTCTTCCTCCTTTTGATGGCCTGACCTAAATTGAAGATATGGGTGTTGTGCTGCACAGACAATTTACTTCAGTGCTATGTGAACTGCATCTTTAACTCTAATTGGTTAGCTTTTCCATTTTGGACTTCTTATTCAAGATATCAAGGTCAATGTTCTCCTTCATTGTTCTGGTTAATACTGACAACTGTCATGCATTACACATGTTTAATGGCTGCTTTGTGTAAAACAATAATCCAAGAGTGGCTCCCTGAACTATGAAGGGATACTGTGCCTTGCTTATCCCCCTACCTCTTCCTCTCTTCATTACTTCTCCCTGTGCCACATAAATGCTTGATGAAATATAAATGATAGTCTGTGAGCCAGACCTGTCTGATACCTACTTCAAAGAGCTGTTTTAGTACTTTAACAATATTACTGTTTATGAAGCTGTGCGATTGCTTAGGAGCAAATAGTTGGGTGAATACACAGATCTCAGGCTTGGGGACTTATGATTTTAGATAGTTTCCCTCATGATGTATTAAAACATTCTATTCAGTTTGCACACTGATTAAAGCAGTATATTAACATGTTTATATGGTTATACATAAATATAATCTGTGTGGCTTTCAGCATCTTTTGTGCTTTTGACATTGAATTGTTTCTGGGTGGTGGAGTTAAGGCGTTTTAAAGGCAAATATTCATAACAGCCAACAGAACAATAGTATTAATACTTGTATTGCAAAGTTATTTCATGGATACAGTTGTTGGCTACTTCTAGCTCCTATTTGCCCTCTCCCACAGTCTGTCAACTCTCCCACAGGCTTCCAGTTATACACCTGGAGACAGGAAGAAATACAGTGCATGGGTGTATTTTTAATTGTGTTGCAAAAATCAATTCCAGTGTCAGCATCTAAAAATGGTTCTAACACACTTGGGATCAGATTCTCAGCTAGTGCAAACTGGCACTGCTCCATTGACGTCAGTGGCATCTGCCTTTACACCAGCTGGCACCTGGCTGCTCATCTGGAAAAAAAAAAGTAGAATGATCAGCTTTGGGTTCTTATCACCTCTTCTGTTTTGTGTTGTGTTCATCTTTTTTATTAAACCTTTCTCAAGTGACAAATTTCCATGTTGTATTGACATTTCACCTGCAATAAATTAGCACTAATACTAAATCTCAGTAAGTATTGACACTGCTGTGCTTCCACCAAAAGGAATTAAATCCAGCTGACTGTTGTTATTAGGGATTCAATTTATTCTTGGATGACTTTGAGTTATATGCTGGAAATAAAAATTTCTGTGCAGCTATCAAGAGGAAGTAATTTTTCTGACCATGAGATGTGCTAATTTTTTTGTGGTCTTAAAAATGGCAAGAACAGAATCAAATAACCTTTACTGTAATCCAAGACTACTGTATTCTACAAACACTAACTGCAGTTATTTCTACAGTGTGCTGGAGTATAGCATTGGTGTCCTAATTACTAATGCAGTAATTCTAAGGCCAATGTTTTTCAAGAAATCCAACTAGACAATCGCAATGTTTTCATGTTAACTTCAACCTATGGAAACATCACTCTAAACCTCTGCGGAAAAAAAAAAAAAATGATGTTTTAGGGAGTATTTCACCATTTACTGGAGTACGGCCATCTCTGAAGAAAAGTAGCAGCTGTATAACATCTTGAAGCAACAGTGCATGCCAGCCTGAGACAGGAGGAAAAACTGTGATTGCCTTGTTTAAATTCTGCATTCTACAAGACTGCTTTTTTGTACACTATGGCATTAAGAAATCTAAAGTTATACAGAATCATCCTAGTTCTTGCTCATGAAATAAGGCAGGGGGGTGGCATGAGGGGGTGGAATATGTTGGCACACCATAGAACAGATTTTTAGTTGAAATAATGAACACAGGACTGTTTTAAAGTAAATCAAAACTTGTTTGACACAACCATGGCACAGCAATCTGCAGTTCATTGAGTCCTATCAGAGTTCTGGTGGCCCAGAAACCAGTACATCTCCAAGTATGCTAGTTTGTGTGTTTGTAGCTTTTGAATAAGTTTTTTAGTAAGTCTACTGTCCAAAAATTTACTGTGCTCTTGAAGTTAAACCCATCAGATAATATTACATGTTTATAACACAGGCTATGAGGTGGGATGCTGATTAGCCAAGCTAATTTAGGAACAGAACAAATGTGAGAAGCAATGATATTAGTTCAATCAAATATTTGATTGCACTTCCAGAAATAATTTAATTGCAGAGTTCAAAACTATGCTTTGCCCATTAGAATTTTGCTTGATTAGTATTTTGCTACGCTTTGATATTAAAGGCACTTCCGAAACCAAATTTAATGTAAAAATATCCAAGGCAATACTGGCTTTTTGCTTACTGCTTTAGGCTTTTGTACCTCAATCGATATAAATTCTTACTCTTATTTAACAAATCATGGTTTCATTCATGTGTTCTAAACATACTTTTATATCTGACTTATTGAGCTTGACTCTGCATTTTATTACTTCATGTTGTTAGTCCTGTTTGAAATTGTAATACAGGATTGCAGGACCGGACCTGTAAGCTTTGCTTTTTATTTAAAGCCAAGAAATTGGTGAATAAATTCTAATACTGCCTGGAGTTTCCCAGCCTTTTGGATGACAATTCTCCACTCCTTGTAACTGGAACACATTACTATTTATGGAAGGTATGCACGTATTTCAGTGTCCATAAAGCATATGCAAACATCTGTTCTTTAGATCACTAGATGGAGTATGGTAAGTGCTTTTTACATTAATATCTATGAAGTAATGCTCACCTACTGACATTATGCTTAAACTTTAATGTTTTAGCAAATATTTCGGTAATTTATCTTTTCAGTCAATCTAAGTCAAACCAGTAGAAATTGCAAACACGCTGGCATGGAGTTCTGTGTGGCCTGTACCCAAAAAATATCAAGTGGAAGTTGTGTGACAGAGTGGTGTAAATATTAAGAGCAACATGATCAATTCTGCTAAAACACTAGAGGTTTTGTTAGTAATAAGTACAGAGAATTACTACCTTTGAAGGGTATTTCTTACCTTCCCTCTTCCTGTGATAGCCTTGAATGGGCACCTTTTACCTACTTGACAAATCTGGATTGTGTGTAGCGGTCCACTTTTTTAGTGTTATGATCTATTTCCCATGTGATCCCACAGGCAAGATTCTAAAGCCCAGTAACTGAAGCTATGCTCAGAAAACGTAGTACATGTGGAAACCAAGACTTCCATACAAGTTAATGTAAGATGTGGGAAAGACAATATTGCATGATAGGATGGGTGCTGGTTGGGAAGGCAGAGGATAAGAGTTCTCTTATTCTGTCTTCAATATCAGTGTTTGCATCACATTAAGTGTTCTCAGCTATAAAAAAAATCTTTAGCATCTTTCCCATTTTGTGTTAAGCATTTATATATTTCAGACTGGATCCATTGGTTGTTTTTCAACATTTCTTTTTGTCTTTGTATGTATTCTATGGGAATAGAGACTTCATAAGGTTATATTTATAAATGTTAGCATAACAACTAAGTTTTCATAGAGTGGAAGTATCGATGAAAATAGGGATTAAAAATATTCTGTATTTCTACGTTCTTGAATTCTCCTGTAGTCAAGTGTTAGAGAACGAAATGCAGCTTTTTACCTGCAGAAAATGGGCTGAATACTTGTACCTTTTTCACTAATCCTTTTTGTTCAAAAAATAAAAAAAGAAAAGCCCAAAATGCTTCAACATGAATAGAGACCCCTGTCTTAGGATTTCTGGAGTGTTTCAGTACAATTTGTATGTTGTCTTATACATTCTTCACACTGATCATATGAAATAAATGTATTCAGAAAAACATGTTTGGGGGCTTTTAACGTATATTAATTTGTGCTTTTGATTTCCTAAAATTATTTCTGGAAGCTGCCAGAAAAGGTGCTGCTCGAGCACAAGATACCTTAGGGATTCTGTATGTGTCTGCATATCACTGCTGGAGCAGAGTGCAGTAGCAACTGGCTTCAATATCCCACCCCCCTCTTCTTTCGGAGTCACCATAGGAACGGACTGCAAGAATTGCCAAATTCAAATAATTATGGTCCTGCTGCACAAAGTTTCTTTTGATCAAGAGCAAGTCATTTGAACTCTAATGTTTAGTGGGTAATACTTACAGCCTCATAAAAGTGTAGTGATGGCTGATATCTCATAGTGCTTTGAACATGTGAAGTGCTATATAAACAATATAGGGCTATTGCACACAACTCAAGCTATTAGCATTTGAGGGACACTGCCCCAGGCCCTTAGAGGGGAAATAACATCCTTACTGGGAAAGAGGCACCTTTTTGAGTTCTGTCTGCTTCCAGATTATCAGGAGCTTTCTAGGTAGCATGTAAATATGAAGATGTATGTGTTTGGTTGTTGTTTTTTTTTTTTTTTTCAAATACTGTGCTTATTACACAGTAGCAGATATTAAATGAAGGTAGGCAGCATTCAGTTAGAACTGTGATTTTGAAAATGCAAGGATGGCAAATCATTGCCTGTTTGCATTATTTCCTTTGCTCTAATTGTTTTTTTTTTGGCATTCTTACATTTTTCCTTTGTGAAATTTCTGCATGCCAATCTACTTGTTGCTAACATACTCGGTATTTTTCATGTGTAACTTAAAACAGATGAGAGATTATGCCTCCTCTTTGTTCCTGAAAATATCACCATACTTTACAGAAATTGAACCACAAATGCAGCTTGAGAACATTGAACAGTCCATGGGTATCTGTGTATAAATGTTGGTGAAATCTTAATACTAGTAAAAGTTAAAAAACTAGTGGAGGGGCACTTTCTAAATGGCTGATCTAACATTTATTAGATCTGAAGGTATTATTCAAATGGGGGAAGAAGTTTTCATAAGATTGGTAGAATTGCCTCTCCATCACATGTTCTATGTGCTCTGATAAATAAAGGCTACTGCTTAGGACCCATCTTGCAATCACTGCAACATGCAGTCTGGGGTAGTAGAAAAGCTTATGGATATCTGCAGGGGGAAGAAGAAATTCCTTGAAATCTCTTTATGCCAGTCATTGCTCCAGTTGATAAACAAGACTGGTTCTGGTTCAGTGTTGGCAAAACACTCTTTTTGCTGGTGGAACTTATTTTCAATAACGGAGACTATTCTAAAGAATTGCAGTTTCCTGCTTGCTTGTTTTCTTTTTTTCTTTAGTGTCCTGAGCTAAGCTTTTAGACATGTTAAATGGCGTAAACAAGTTTTTCATTTTTATTACTGTTATCTAGGAACAGCCATTCAAAACAAATACGCTATTGACTCAACGCTACAAAGCTCTGAAGAGAGAATAAGCTCAGACTTTGAAGGACTGGGCACACAGTTTAAGTATTTAGCATAGCAAACCCCATTGCAGTACAACTGCTTGTACTGGATCCAATGTTTTACAGCATAAATGTGAAGCATAATCCTGTGTATTCAGGGAGAAAATGCCTAGTTCTTTTACTAATTTCTGTTGTTGGGTTTTGTCTTTATGAAGACCAACATGAACTACTTATTTTCTGCCCTGGCAAAGTTATTTTTAAGTAATAGATATTAATCAAAAGAAAAATAGCCTGCAATAGATAGATACAAGATTATGGGAACTGTTACAAAAGCCTTATATTTATTCTTCAAAACTGGTGCACCCTTAATGTTTTTTAATCTGCCTGTATTTTTGTGGTGCTTTCAACCTCCACTTCCTTGTCCCTGTTGAACTCAGCTTCCTTTTGAAAAGCTCTTTGTGCTCCAGTGACCACTTTAAGCTTTCTATTGACAAAATTAAGCTGGACTCCTAATTTATTTTTCCAGCAGAAAGTGTGAGTTGAAAGTGGTCATTGGCCCGATAGTGAGAGCAAAGGTGGTTTTATTGGGAAGGGGGGGTGATGTTTGGTTTCTTTCTCTCTGTCCTTCAATCCTTTTCTCTTGTTAACTTATAACCCTCTTGTTTCCTCCAGGGTTCCTGGAAAGTGTAGTTCCTACATCCCTCTCTGA